AGTATGTCTGAAAACCAAGAGAGGCCTATTTACCCGCCAGAATTTACAGTAACAATCATTGATTTTGTATTGTCTTTGTGGCACATTATCGCTACAACTGAGGGTTTAATTACAGGTAATAATGGTAGCAATAATGTTATATTCCATAAGCTGCTTTTTACAGACCAAATAGCAGTCTCATTGGGCTGTTTTTCCTCCTTTATCCTTTCAGTCTACACAGTTTAGTGAATAGGCTTTCTTCTAAGACTGCACACACACTATAAGGCTCCTTAACTGCAGCACTGACCATTTCACACGCTGTGACAGACTCCTACCAGTGTCTGCAGCCTGCAGCGGCTCTAAAAATTAGGCCACACCAAACCTAAAAATAGACTTGGACCGGACCACGAACCGGATCATTGCAAATATTGTAGTGTGAAAATATTTTCTCAAAGCCGTCAGAACAGTAGTAAAAATAACACGTCGTGGCTGTGAAGCCAGCACAGCAGATAGGTGTGGTGTGTGTGTGTGTGTGTGTTGTGTGTGGTGGTGTGTGTGTGTGTGTGGTGTGTGTGCGTGTGGCGTGCGCGCAGCCAGCGCTCCCTATTCACATGTAAATCCCGCTCTGCCTGAATAAACAGGCAGCATGCAGGGATTACAGCGCCCCGCCGCCTCCCGCTTCATATGGACGAATATGGACTTCACATTAGCATAAAAACACCACACACACACACACACACACACACACACACACCTCATTCCTAGATGATTAAATAAAATACAGAAGTAAATGACATATTGTTGTTCGGTATCAACATCCGCGCATTTGATTTGACAGTTTCGCACCAGGAGCGGGAGTTCGGGGGAGCCGGGGATCGAACCGTCGACCCAGGACCCACCGGACAAACCTGCGCTAGGCCTACCACCTGAGCCATAGTACCTCCCTCCGTGCCCGGCTTTCATTTCATACGAAAAGTAAATATATGTGTAATATGTATAAATTTAAAGCATTTAAATTCAACAAACAACACAGAGAGAGCGCGCGCATTTAAACACGAGCCCAGAAAACAGGAAAAAGAAAATTGTTGATGTTAAATTCACCGAGGAGAGTTCAGTCTTTCACCGGCTCCTCAGTCACTGTGCTGTGGTTTTATCATTTACTGTCGGGGGGGGG